GGACAAATGTTTCCTACAAGCAGTGGTAGTTACCACCACTTGTGTTTTGTATGTTGTATGTAGTATCTGTCGAAACCGAGAGTATGTACGTGTAGTATGTAGTATATAACAATGATTAGGTAGTATATGTACAAATTTTTAGGTAGTATGTACCATTTTTTGAGTATGCTCTTTTTTATGTACAAATATGTACGTATTTCACAAATATAACAAAAACTATGGGCTCATATGCAATTTTTTCATGTAACTTGCTTTGAAATATCTTAGATATATTATATGAACATATTTAAAATAATAAAATAATATATATAGTACCACATGGTAGTATATGAGATATGTGGGGTAACTACCACCGGGTGGTAGGATGGATTTTCCCTATATACTCATTGTCAAAGATAACATTGCATTCATAGCGTATGTCTAGTTTCCTAGTACATATGTTGCAGTCTTTTTTGCCATTTATTACTCCAAAATTGAAGGAGTGGAAATCTAGAGTAGATTTATCCACTAGGTTCTGTGGGGCACAAGCGTTTGACAAAAAAAGCATAGTGTGGCTAGGATAACATCACATAATATATTTTTATTTGGTAATATTTCAGACACAATAATCTGCAAATAGAAAGAAGTGTCAAGCATCAGAATATATAACAAGTTTCCTGATATATAGTTACAGTCACCAACATATGCGTATACATTGTTATAGCATTCTAGTTGCTTATTTTATTGCCACTTCTGAAGTGACTCATTCTTTCAATTTCTTTGACTTGAATTTATTATGGTTTGCAGGGAGGTCGCCATCATGCAAAGGCATAGCAAACTATGTGTCTCCACATCCAACCCTATGTTCGGACTCCAAGATTGGGCAAACCTTCCGAAGGATCTGCTACAATCAATTTTCTCTCACTTAGGCTCAATCTGTGACCTTCTCGCCTTTGTTGCAACCTGCCGTTCTTGGCGGGTTGCATTAACTTCATACTCATCCAAATCCACCTTATGCACTTTATTCCCGCCTCTCCTCATCCAACCCAATATTCGTGTCCATGTTCGTCGTCCTCCATGTAACAATGGTCATCGCAACTTACAGGCATATAAAGTTATCGATCCAGCCAAGCAAAGTGCCACCGGCCTTCACTGTCATATTGATGAAGAAATTTTGCAGACGATGCGTTGTGCTGGCCCTTCATATGGTCAACTCATCTTCTACAACCGTGGACATTGCGTTGTTGTTGATCCTTTTAGAGGTACCAAGGCCCATTACGTGATGACTATAGAAAGCTCAACTGGTCTGATATTCCATTCAAACAAAAAATCATGGAGCTTCAATAACTAGTTACAGAGTCTTACTGCAGCGCCATTCTAACAGCTCCCCTTGCATCAGCAAACTCGCATATGCTTGTTAGCACTAGCCTCTCCTTATTTAGTTGGCCGGTTGGAAGTGATACTTGGTCCGAACTCCAGTGTTCTGGTGTACAAATAATTCAGATTGTGGAATTCAAGGACCAATTCATTGCCATGGATCTTCGTCAACAGGTATACACTTTGGAGATGGCCCCCAAGCTTAGACTGCAGGAAATATCCACTAACCGCCCCCCTGACTTGACCAAGAGTTGCCAAGACCCATCTAAAATATCATGGCTAGTGGTCTGCGGTGACATGCTTCTGATGTTGGTCCATTCTTGCACGAGTATTCAGTACAATGCCAGTGTGCCATTTATCCGCACGGTCCATTACCTTGACATGTCAACCAAGCCTGCAAAATGGGTGGATATGGAAAAGCTGGACAATTGGGCCATCTTCACGGGGAGTGATATCAGGAGTACGTCATTTTCTTGCATGAACCCAGAACATTGGGGAGGAAGGAGCAAATGTCTATATGTTGCTCGTTCCCCTAAACCTTGGAGTGAATATGGGTTAAGCAACGAGCCAGATCCATCTGTTGATCCCGTCCATCAGCACTTCAGGATGATGCAACCCCTTTGGGTGTACCCGAGCATGCTCTATTCGAATGGCCCTTGATCATCACGTGTATTATTGGGAAATTTCCTCTTCTCCAACTCGGGTATGAGTTTGGAGATGTTCATGGTGACATTGGCACTCGGAATTCAACCTTTGCATTATATTTTGGTCCCCCAGTTTCTAATACTTTGTAAGAGATGTTTATGGTGCTTGTATTACTGCTTAAGCTGAACCTCCTAACCTTCTATAGTTTTTTTTGTGATGTTTAATGTTGCACTGGATAGATGTATGATACTTTTAACTATTTGTTGCTTCATTTTCTACTGTCGAGCTTTAAGTATCTTTTTTATTTCTGTTACAAGATAATGTTCATACTTGGTATGCCTCGGGCCCTCAGGATTATTGACAGAAAGGCCACTGTCGCGTTGCGGATTAGCACATGATCGAGTTGCATCACCTTGTTTCCATAATTAACGTACGTCATTCTTTTGAATTCACAATTGGTGAAGGTACCTTTTGACTTGATTGGCGGTCCTATGCTGACTCACCAGCAATGATCTTAACACCAAAGATAACATAATAAAGATGCATTTTGATCCATTTTTTAGAATGCCTCATGATGACAACCCTGGCCGCTCTCGCAAAAGATGATCGAAATTATTCTGTTCCCCAACCGCATTACTCAGCAACATATATTTTGAGAAAATCTCTATATTTACTCCAACGGCAGCCCACAAGATTGTACTCTACTAATTGATTGCCTCCGATAAATTAACAGCACTTTACATGAGCCCATCACACCAACCAAAAGACAATGACATGAACAGCAGTACAATAATAACATGGACATGAATCACATATATAGTGGTCACTTCAACAAATATATATCTTCTTATTTCTGCGTAGTAATATTTTCCTTAGTGGCTAGTAGCATGCAGCTGGAATCTCCAGTTCCCTACTTCGGCACAGTGGCGGCATGGCCTCCCTTTGTTTTTCTGGCACGGCAAAAGAGACCCTAAAAGATAAAAAGAGAGATACTAAAGCAACGCCGAAGCCAAAAGCCACCGACCGATCCAATCTGAGCTAATAGTGGCGAGTGCCGACCACCCCTGCTGCAACCCTTAGCTTAGCTTTTGCCTGCATATTCATGGTTCAGACAAAAACAAGTGGTTTCATCATGAATATGCCATGAACATTCTGAGATTATTCGACAATGATTCTCGGCTTGAATTCGGGGCTTACCGTTGGCGGCGCGGGCTCTTCGGATGAAGGAGAGGAAGATGATGATGATGGCCGCCGCCGCCACGATGCCGATGATGATGGCGAGGGTCTTCCCGGAACCATCTGACGAACATAACAGATACAACACGTGGATGTCAAGATAACATTCATCGCACTCGCTCCATGCATGTGCTCTGTTTGATGATCCTTTACAGCCAGTATTGTACAAATGTAGCTTTGTGCAAAGTGGCCAAGTAAAAGTCTCAAAACTCAAAAGCTACAGCGCAAAGCAGAAAAGGCTAGGGAGTACCCTAGCCACGGTGGGTGCCAGAGAGATATACGGGCGATGCAAAGCGGGGCAGGATCATTTTGAATCCACTTTGTGATATGCTTGGCTGAATGAAGAAGAACAGGAAAGTGAATCCACATGAAAGTCTTTCTGAAAGTTGAGATTTAAATAGTGTTGGCCAAAAAGCCCTTTCCATGGCCTCTTTGGTACTACCTTTGCTGCAGTTCGCACACACCATCATTTGCTGCTAATTAGTAACTAGGGAGGGCCATCTACTATGCCAATGTGCATGCATTAGGGAATGCACACCACAAGCAGGTTGAACTGTCAACTTGCCAATGTTAACTACTGAACAGTAGTTTAAACACTGCAGCAGTAGGGTAAGA